GGAGGTTAGTGTGATTTGGGCACGACACGAATTATTTAGCTAGTCTAGTACTGGACGAAATTGAGGTTTGGATGCTGATTTTGTGCGGGCTGTTAATTCTCCGATAGACATGGCTTGCCTATATTCCCTATTGTTATTTTTATTTTTTATATAATTTATAGTTAACCCACTTTGGGTGAGTGTGGCAGAGCATTGTCATTTGATAATAGTTGGTATAATAAATATATCTACCTTTATGTTACATGCAATTAACTAAAAGTACTTACTATTTTTCTATCCTTCTTTTTTACACCAATAAGTAATTATAGTAACTATATTAATATTAATAATTATTTACTAATAATATTTAAAGAACTAATACATAGCAGTAACCTAATTCTAGTGTAATTTCTGTCGTCTTGCCCGAGTAACAGACGTGTGTTTCTCTTCGTGACAGAATACCAGCACAGTTCACGTTATGGGTAAGAAGGCGAAACCTGTCAGCAAGCATGAGGCAGCGGCGTCGGCGGCGGCGTCGACGGAAGATGCGAAACCGTGGAAACGGCACAACAACAGAAACAGGCGGGAGAAGTTGCGGCGTGTCTACAGTGAACGGGATGCGGATCTTTAGCTGTGCAGTCGATGATGATGATGATGATGATGATGATGATGTGGATGGATAAATGGCTGTGAGATTGTAGCTGTACATATGTTGATGAGGGGATGGTGTGTTGATTGGCCACATATGTTCCACTATTTACAATGTACCGTCGCTACTATTATTCTTCCTTGTGAAGGTAAAGCAAGTTCTAATATTATGTGATGTTGTAAAAATCGTCTCCATTACTTAATGTTTGGTTAAATGAGTTTTCTAATGAGTCCTTTCACAATTTTTGCACTAAACTTTTGTAAAAATATAGCTACATATTAAGTCTGTCAAGCTTATAATTGCTTGATTATTATAATCTATAAACCCAATTAAGCAAATATTCCTGGCCAGGTGTTTTCCTCAACATTCGCAACAACTTCTATTTTTACGGTAGCCACCCATTGGTTTTCATCCAATATGACACTGCTGTTCCCTGAATCGAAATGCCAATATTCTGACACATACTATTCATGACGAATTTGTCGTTATTAACCCCTGATAGTATTGTATGTAGGTATAATATTTGCTGACCTTTCTGATTAATTTCTGTTGACGCAACCATGTCTGATCGCCATCTTTAATTAGCAGGTAATAATAGTTAAGGATACTCTCCACCTTTTGCATGGTTATTGCTCTAGTGAAGATTAAACGTTTATTGGCGAATGAATCGAATCAATCACTTGTTTTATTTATGGAGGAGATATATCTCTATGCTCTAGCCACAAAATTTCATGAAACTTCCAACACCTAATTATGTTACCACACAAATTTTGAATTTGTATGTAAAAATGGTATTTTGGATATTTCTCAACTACCAGAGAGAGTGAGGATACAAAATTTTTGCCACATGTTAAGCACAATATGGACCAAAATAGTGCGTCTGGATTTTTCTAATATTTTCATATTTACCGAGAAAACTGGAAATGACATGACTCATGATTGGCTGCTGTCCGTTATTAGTTAGTTATTGTGAAAGTACCCAGCCGTGGAAAGTTTGGTGAAAGGTGAATACGCATTAACGCATGTCGAACAAGCAATTAATGCATGTCGAACAAGCAATTAACGCATGTCGATTAAGGAATTAATGCCTATCGAACAAGCAATTAACGCATGTCTAACAAGCAATTAACACAAGCAATGTTACAGCATAACGCATCGTCTAACGAGCGCGTTGAGACGATGTCGTTCAAGCAATTAACGCGCATGTCTAACAACGCGAAGGTTATGTTTGGCAAGTCGTCTGCGCCGGGCTGTAATGATGTTAGAGTTATTTATGGCCTGTTTGAAATTGAATTGCAGCTTTGAAGGAATGTGCAGACCCTACTATGCGCTGGACGGTGTGGTGAGACCCTGGTAATCAAAATAGAGCTGCTGCTTTGAGGTGTGAGGAGTGAGGGTACAGTCGATCATGTGATCAATAGTGTGGAAATTGATATGGAACAATGAGTAGTGAGTCAGAAATACTTGCCTTTAGTAATAGTATTAGATGCCTAAAAAGTAATATGGCATATAACCTTCGAAAACGTGAAAACGTGCTATACGCTCTACTTCTGGCCATAAGGCAGTGGCATGAATGCCTGTATGCTTTAAGTCAATAGATAATTACTATGGTATCTGGCCTGCCTTCGTATCTGTTCTGGAGATGTAATAGTATTAGCTACGACTGTGTTTCTGCAATGGTGTTATATCCTTCTATGTAAGAGTACGCATACTTATGTATATATATATATAATATATAGTATATTAATAGCATAGGCGGGGCATGTCCCTATGTTTGATTAAACATCGGTATTGTGCTGTAATTAAGTGAGTTAGTGTATGCGCGATGATCAGAGGCGCAGAAACTTTGATTTCATGAGGAGGCGGTGCTGAGCGGAGAGGAGGAGAGGTCTCCAAAAATCTAATCTCCGTGGAAGGTTTCCTGGTTTATTATCAATAGACGAAGTGTGCATAATAACTATTTATAAAGCCACACTGTTGCATGTGTTTTTTCGTGGCCAGGAAATGTCTTTATAGGCAAGACGAATATAGGCAGAGAGAATCTGATTGAAGATGCGAGAACACCAGAAAACACAGGGTTAATTTCACGTTACGTTAAGTTTTAATGTGTTGTGCGTCGTTAATGGTTTTTTTTTGTCGCTAGTTATTGTGGTGTGAGTGGTTTACAGCCGCAGGGAGTGAACTCAAGTAAAATCGCGTGGTTATTTGGCCTGTGGGAAGGATAAAAAGCCCCTTGAAACGCGTTTTTGTTTTAGCGGCTGAACTTCGCTTTTTGAAATTGTTTAAAAACTAGTACTATCTTCGATGTAAGCTGCCCCCGAGGTTGCGGTTTTGATCTAACTCAGTGGCGAAAG